CACAAATGAAATGAACTTTAGAAAAAAGAGGGAGCTGAGGGGGCAGGACTGAGACTCAGGTGTCCTCAGTAATTTCTCTGTTATGATATTTAGTCATTAATGAAAATGTAGTAACCAGAGCATCTAGCCCCAAGTAACATGTCTTTACTCAGAGTGAACCGATGTGCAGTGTTTATGCTCCCAAGAAAAATTGTATGAGCTATATGATAACAAATAACTCTGTAAGTTATGGCCTTTATGTTAGTGCGTATTCTTTTTAATAGCTCACAAGAAAAGCTCCTATGAGAATGGCAGACATAAAGTATCTAACAGAGCCAATTAGTGGCATGATGATTAAGGTAGCTGAATTTCACATGGCTGACTACATAGTTCGAGTTCTAGATCCAGTGGCTTGAAAATCCATTGGGTGAATGTGCATGCGTGCCCCAAATCCCAAGACAAAAATGGAAGGGAAGGATTTGAGGCTTGGCCATCACCCTTGGGGAGGTATTTTCTAACTTTCCCTCACATTCTCTCCATCCTTTTTTCACTCTCTCTGGTGAGCACACCTGTCCATAGCAAAAAAAAAAAAAAAAAGGTTAAAAAATAAAGTGTCCAACAACTAAGAAAAGTCCATTGAGCTTCTTAACCATTTGTAAAACTAATCTGGGAAGACAATCCACCAATTTTAGTGATTGATCAGAGCTTTTTCCAGTTTTCCATCCCTGTCTACCCTATACTCTGTCTCAGTGGAACCCTCAACAAATAGAATATCTATAGCAGGTATGATAGTCTTCCTTGACTAATGAGAATCAATTCAAAATTAAAATTATGATGACACTAGCAAGAGTAAGAGTAGCAACTCCTCATTTGGTATCTTTGCCCCATCCATCCATTGTGGTCATGACACATATTTTATTTATTTATTTATTTATTTATTTATTTATTTATTTATTGGAGAGGTACAGGGCTCGTGCGCTTGCCAGAAAGATAGAGACAGAAAGTGAAAAATCACCCTCCAGGTGGGATGGCCACGCCACAATCCCTTCTCCTTCATTTTCCTCTTGGGATCTTGGACACACAGACACACGCGCCTGACGTGAGTTTAAGCCACCAGGTCCGGGACTCGAACCATGGTCAAGTACATGGGAGTCCAGTGACATAGCCATTAAACCAACTGCTGATCCCTGTTACTTATGTATTTTGAATTGCCAGAGTGCACCCACACTCACCATAGAAAGACAGTGTCGGGGAGAGGGGAGCATCCTCAGTGGGCTTCCTTCTCCATTTCACTGTGCATTCCCTTCTCCATTTCCCCATCCCATCAGGACTTTGAGCATACACACCCATGCACCCAGAGTCTTTTATGAGCTGGCCATAAGGGATGTAAACCACCTACAGCCACGAGGAATTGGTTCTCATAACCACTAGTCTATGGAGCCAGCCTGACTCACATGTTTCATTTAAAAATTGGGAGAATTAAGTATATTAATACATTAGTAACACTTGATACAGAATAAACATTTAATAGACATTAACGATTTTATTCTTTTGCTTCTTTAATGGTTATTGTGGCCGAGTGCATGATCATCTAGTCTTCTAACTCCCTTTCAAGCCTCTACCCCACCCCTTCAGCCTGTGGACTACGGCAGCTGATGGCAAGTGGGAGTAGGAAATTGGAAAGGCACAGCTTCCACCTAACATTTCACAGGAATGAAAGGGTCCTTCCCTAAAAGCCTCTCTGATATGGTAACTGGATTGCCCCTCTGCAATGTGATAGCAGGATTTAGATGTGGGGCTAACAGAGGTTGTGGTCGTGAAAGCAATGGATTCCCACATAGCAGAACACAGTTTGAGTCTTGGACCTTGAAGCTGGAAAAACATGCTAGGTTCATGTGTGTGCATGCCCAAAATCCCAAGAAGAGAATGGAAGAGAAGGGATTGTGGCATGGACATCACCCCTTGGGAGTGATTTCTTACTTTCTCTCTCTCTGTCTCTGATGAGGACAGACACCTTATGGCAAAAAGATTAAAAAAAACAAAAGAGAGAGAGAGAGAGAGACAGAGAGCTAGAGAGAGAAAAGATTTAGATAGGCCAAGCCAATGACCTGGAGGTTAAGGCAACTGGATTCCATATGGCAAACTATGCAGTTCGAGTCCCATGCTTGTGAACTGAAAAATGCACCAGGTGCTTGTAAATGTGTGTTCAAAATCCCAAGAGGAGAGTGGAGGAGAAGACATTTTAGCATGGTCATCCACCCGGGTGTGGGGGGTGATTTCTTGCTTTCTCTCTTTCTGTCTCTCCACACATGCCCTACAGCAAAACTAAAATAAATAAATAAATAAGTAAATAAATAAATAAAGATAATTAATTAAAATAGATTTAGATGAAAGGTTTTAGATAACAGAGTAATATAAAATCAATAGTTTTTTTTTTTTTTAATGAGACGTTTTTGCTATAAGGGTGTGTGTGCTTGCCAGACAGACGGAGAGAGAGAGAGAGAGACAGAAAGCAAGAAATCACCCCCCAAGGGGGATGACCACGCCGCAATCTCTTCTCCTTCATTCTCCTCTTGGGATCTTGGGTACACACGCACATGTGCCAGGCGTGAGTTTTAAGCCACCGGGTCTGGGACACGAACCACGGTCGACTACATGGGAGTCCAGCAACATAGCCATTACGCTAACTGCTGGTCCCAATAGTTATTTTTAACTGCTAATGCATATGGTTTATTTCAGAGCTCACTGGCCCAGGCCGATTCTTACAGATTACCTCACAGTCTAGCACTCAAGCTGACAACTTGCCTACTAGTGGCAGAGGTCAGTTTAGAGCTCACCATCAAGAAAGCAGCAGAGTATTCTCTTCGAGATTCAAATAAGGCCCAGAAAGAAAAATTCTCACATCATTTCAACCAAAGTCTTGTCTCCTGAATTTTCATGTCTTGTCCCAGAATCTGCCTTTTATCAAAGTAATTTCTACAAAAACACTCGTTTCTACAATATAATACAATTTAATGTAATTTAATCTATTCTAAATATTTTAAAGAAAAGAAACATTTGTACCATCTGTTTCCTCTTGCTTCTCATCCACGCAAACAACAGCAACAATGTCAGCAGAGAGAGAGCTTCTGATTTGACCAAAAGTACGAAATTTTATATTGCAAAACTGAATACTTAGCTCCTCCAATTAAATCATCTGCATTTAGGTTAATGGACACTTCAGTTCTTCCCACAGAGCACTGGTTGCATGCACTATGGGAGATCAGGAACATTTACAGATAAAATCATTAATTATCCCCAAAATTGTTTTAATTGCTTTTTATATGCTATTACATTAAATGGTAAATAAAAAACAAGTAAGTGAAATTTGCTTAAAAATTACAATATCAGCCTTTCTTTTGCAGTTACAGATCTATCTGTTAGAGAAATAATAAATAATTTGAAAAACAAAATATTACAGGTTGCCAAAGAGAGGGCAGGGCTGAATTACAGTAGATGATATTAGTAATGCTAATTAGTCTCTGAGTGCTTTGTCCAGCAAGGTATGTTTTCTGGGACACTCTCGTTTTTTGAGAGTACTAACATCTCCATGATGTCTAGAAATTGCATTATTATGTGAGATGAAGTCAGAAATATAACAGGAGAGGGGCTGGAAAGTGGCATAGTGGTTGTGGTGTTGGACTCCCATATGGCCAACCATGGTTTGAATCCCAGACCCAGTGACTTGAAACTCATATTGGGCATGGGTGCTTGCGTGCCTAAAATCCTGAGAGGAGACTGGAGGAGAAAGGATTGCAGCATGACCGTCTTCCTGGGGCGGGGGGTGACTTCTCACTTTCTCTCTCTTTGTCTCTAGTGAGCATATGCACTCTGTAACAAAAATCTCTCTATGAAAAAGAAAGAAAGAAAGAGAAGATAGAAAGGTAGAAAGAAAGAAAGAGAGAGAGAGAGAGAAAGAAGAAAAGAAATGAAAAGAAAAAGAAAAAAAAAATAGCTACCAGTAGCTAAACCATGTAGGAGCTTGTTGACCATGTGCAGGGCCCAGCCTTCCTTTCCTGTCCCCTGTAATTCGTTGGGAAGTCTCATACTATAAGTAATACAACTTCATTCATACTTCTTAAAGATATTCCAACAATACATAGAAATAGGATGCTTTCATGAAGACTTCTTTGAAACAGATGTTTTCTTTTTCCTACTAAATTCTTCACTGAGTGGGCCAGCTCCATGGCACAGAGGTAGCTCACTACTCAGGAGATGCTGGATCCATATGGAAGCTGTGGGTTCAGTTCCTTGGTCAAGCTGTCCCCATTGAGCACATATATTCATGATCCTAGTTGGCTAAGAAGTGAGAATCCTGGCATGAGACCCTTCGAGGATATTCTCGCACTGTCATGAAAGAATTAAGGAAGTTTTTAAAAGTACTCATGGGCCAGCAGGTGATGTGGAAGTTAGGTTAGGTTAGGTGCAGTCCCACATGGTTAACGACACCGTACAAGTACCCGACTCAGCAGCTTGAAAAATCACACAGTTTGTGCCCCAAATCCCAACAAGATTATGGAGGAGAAGAGAGTGCAACATGGCCACACCCTGGGGGAGATTTTTCACTTTCCCCCACTTTCCGTCTCTGTCTCTCTCTGGGTATGCATGTACCCTATAGCAAAACCCAAATAAAAAGTATAAGAATAAATAAAAATTTAAAAATTCTCACTGAGAAAGTGTAACAAAAGGTAATATTGAATTATTATTAACATTCTACACGTCTTGCCCTCCATGCTTAAAAACCATACTTGTTGTAATTTTTTTCATACCTCTAGCAAATACCGTCATGCACAGCAAAATGGTGTTCTAGTCAACGACAGAATTGCACAATGGAGTTCCCCTATAAGGACCAGATAAGCTGCACCACATAGCCTAGCTAGAGAGAAGGCTATCCCATCTAGGTTGATGTTGGTGTTCTCTATGATGTTCACAGGATGACAAAATGGACTAACAATGCATTTCTTTGAATTTTTCTTTGTTAGGTATGCCCTAATAGTTAAGAGAACCAGATTCCACATGGCTAATCATGCAGTTCATATTTGGACTCATCAGCTTACAACACCCCAGGTGCTGTGCGTGCGAGCACGTGTGTGTGTGCGTGTATGTGGTATGTGTGTGTATGCTCAAAATCCCAACAGAATGGAGATACGGAGGAGAAGGAACTCTGATGTGACTGTACTCCTTTGGGTGATGATTTCTCCTTCTCTCTCTCTCTTTAGTGAGTTTATGTGTCCTCTGGACAAATTAAAAATTAAAAAGAGAAAATGAGAGGCCAGGAGGTGAAGAAGTGATTATGGTTCTGGACCCACACATGGCTGACAGCAGTTCAAGTCCCAGATTCCCAAGAGGAAAATGGAGGAGAATGGACTGCAGCTTGGCTATCCCCCTGGGGAGTGATTTTTCACTTTCTCTCTGTATCTTTGATGGGCACACATGCCCTATAGCAAAAATCTCTCTCTCTCTCAAAAAAAAAAAAAAAAAAAAGAAAGAAAAGAAAAAGAATTTATGCCTGTCATTAAGTAAAACATGCTATATAAAATTTTTAAAATCTTTTTGTCTTCACTGTTTTATTATTATTATCATTATTACTATTATTAGAGAAAGACATTTTTGCTACAGAGTGCGTGTGCTCACCAGAGAGACAGAGACAGAAAGCAAGAAATCACCCCCCCAGGGAGATGGTTATTCCACAATCCCTTCTCCTCCTTTCTCCTCTCAGGATTTTGGGCATGCATGCACACATACCCAGCATGAATTTTAAGCCACTGGGTCCAGACTCAAATTGTTGTCAGCTACATGGAAGTCCAGCAATGCAAACTTTATGCCATCTGCTGGTCTTTTTCAGACACATTGTAAGGTATCCACTTCTTTCAGACTAACTGACATCCTCCTTGATTTTAGGAGGTTTGGAGGAATGGGTGGGCAATGACAGTCATTCCAGTCTAAAGGTAATACTTTCTACAGAAGCAACCCTAAATGTTGGTTTCTGTTAGTCTTAGGTAAAACTGCACATTAACTCTGGCCTATTGTAATGGGTAAAATTAATCAATATTTCACTTCTTACTCCTCCTAAAAAAGTAAAACCTGATGGTCTAAAGTAACTTTAAAATCTACACCATGATATCTATTAAATTCAACTTGGGCAGTAAGTAGATACTTTTTATCCTGCAACAACAGATGTGACTAAAAGAATTGATCTTGTTGACATTGTTACACTTGTATGGATAGAAATCAATGTTAACAATATCATTAAGCATTGCACATTCTGGCAGGGAAATTTTTGCCATTCATAAAGTCAGGGTGAGCTTGTTTTCTATTGTAGTGTCACAGCTTACTTCTGATGGAAAACATTTTTATCTGCAGCTGGCTAAGGCATTTATCTTAGTGAGACATCACAGGCAATAGACTGCTTCAGCAAGTAGATATAGGAAAACTGTCACCATTAATTATACTGAGGGCTTGAATTGGGGTCCCTGAGCTTCCAGCGGCAGAATCACAAAGAGGATAATACAATTTGTGATTCAAACACAATTAGTGTTGTATATTCTGAATGTCTTCTTAGTTGCCTCTTTAAGTGCGGGATCAACTCTAAATCTACAGCATGGTGGTTAGTACCCAACCAATTCTTTGGTTAGGTGATCTGGTTTTACTAATGACATTGTATTTGAGCGTCTGACAAGTTTCATGACAATTTCAGTGTGTTATGGGGAACTTGAGCCAGTACCACACAAATGAAGTAGAAGACTGAAACAGTTCTCAAGCTAGTCTTCCTCTTATCCTTTGATTGTCTAGATTAAAATTTTAAGAAAAATTTTCAGACAGATACAGATTTTTCATTTAAAAAAAGTTGTAAATGGTCACTGAAAATACAACTATCCACTAAAAACATTGTTTTGACAAATAGAACATTATTTCAGAATATTTTAATTGACAAAATAAGAGTATATTAAAAACTACATTTTGTCCCCAGTTTAAGAGATACAAATCTAGCTGCCCACGTGGCTACTAATCAGTGTTAATCTGATTATTTATTCATGTATCTATTGTGTTAATTTTTTGCTGCAGAATTTAGTGTTTTTTAATTTTTTTCCTTATTCATGGTAGAGTATGTGTGTATGCATACAACATTGAGAAAAAGTAAGAGATGAACATCCTTCTCAGGATCTGGTCATACCATGATCCCCTTCCTCCAATCCTTTACCCCAAAGGATCTTGGGCACTCATCTATGCATGCCTGGCATGTTTCAGGCCAACCAGGCCAGGAATTGGAACAGCAGTCCCCTTGTGAGATTTAGCTTCTCTTGAACAGTGTATTACCACTGTGCCATGGAATCAGTCCAGAATTTATATTTATTAAATATGTTCTCTTCTTAAGCTCTTCTAAATTGATTATACTTAGTTTCCTGCAAGTCTCTGATTCTTTTATTTGATGAGTTCTACAGCTTTTTGTATGCTAGTCT